CAACTTTCAGCATGAAAATCCATTATTTGAACCTGTAATGCATTTTTATCCTATCCATGACCCTTCAAGTGGACAAAAATGTCCACCTGTCATTTAGCTATTTGTTATTGTTGCTATACCATCCATTTATCATGGATGGGATAAAATTGCATTACAGGGTCAAACAATGGATCTTCATGCTGAAAGTTGGGATTTTCAAATTTAAACCAAAATCACCCCCCTGTGACCTTTTGTTGGACACTTTCTATAAAATGGACATTTTTGTCCATTTGAAGGGTCATGGATAGGATAAAAATGCATTACAGGGTCAAATAATGGATTTTCGTGCTGAAAGTTGAGATTTTGAAATTTCATCCAGAATGACACCCCCATGCAAAAAAATCACCCCCCTGTAATCTTTCATTTGTCTGTGAGGGAATTTTTGAATTTTGGAAATGGACAAAAATGTCCAGGGGTAACACAAGGGTTAAATTAGCCTAGCGACGAGCGGAGATTTCCTCTTCTCATATGAAACCTGGTCTCAGCCGAGTCGGGCAACTGGATGCAGCCCAACTTAGGTCTTCCAGCGTCTTACTGTTTGGGCCAATGTTGGGCCATGTCATTTTGGATACCTGGGTAGGCTTAAAAACATAATGTCAGTAAAGTTGCCATGGTAAAAGTGGTCATTCTGACTCTAACTATCTGACCATGACGCACTACTACTTATAGTCTGACAGCCATTTCAGATATTTATTACACAGGGAGTATTACACTTATGCTGTCCCTACTAGCTAAAACAAGTCAAAATGTCAGCAGAGGAAAAAGATCTATTAACCTGTTTCATGTGTTTAAATCGGTTTCTCGGCAACAAGTTCAATAGTGTTTAGGATTTTCCCCTGAAAGAAGAACCATGTGCCAAATGAAGAATTAATCACTCTTTGCAACAGGATTTGGTGTTAAGTGTTTATTTCATTATCATGTGTCAGAATGGTACAAAACGTAGGGTCTGAACATCAGGAAATACAGTTCAGTTGTCCATTGTTACAGACATCCTGCTTAAAAAGCCAGTGTTCAGTCCACTTGGCAACAATTAGATAATAAAGGCCTTGTCACGTGATACAGACGGTGCTGATTAAAACAAGTCTGTCCATCCAGCTTAAAGTTAATGCTCAACAGTGATTGCTGCTAGGGGTTAAGTGGTGTGGCTTTCAGTATGGCTATAATGCACACAAGTTCAGCATCTGCAAACTCATGCTGCAAGATGAAATAGATGTGAACCCCGAATAAAAGGAACTGTTTTCATATCCCTGATCTACAGGCATCAGAATACAGAGATGAGTGAATCATACATAGTAAATACAATCATGTATTCAAAAAAGGTTTTATACACAGGTAGTGATTAGATGTCAATGCAATCATGGCAGTTTTTTTGAATAATGCGATTTCTGAGTTCAAGTGAAATGGTTACAACCGTCCAAAAATGTACACACTTCAGAAATATTACAGATATTAACAGTGTGTGGGCACCACACTGGAGGGAGAGATCATCTCCATTTACAGTATGTTAGATTGTCATGACTTGCTTCTGCTGAGTTGTGAAATCCTGTCCTTTTTTGGGAAATGAGCTGTGCCCACAGAAATCAGCATGTCACTGTCTGCTGTAAAACCCCCTCTTGATCCAAATGAGTTAATCCTGTCAGAATTAACTGATAAATCACGCTGTTTCACACAAACTACACTACTTAAGGCATCATAACATAAATACAGAGCATTTCGTACTTTGAAGAAATTCAGGAGAGGCAACACAAAAGATCAAAACAAAACTTTGGGCACATTTTAGCACACAATTTAAAAAAAAAAGAGCTAATTGATTTTTTTGTAAGTGTTTACATGAGAATGGGCCATCTCTGACATGACACTAAAGTGCCTGCGTAAGAGTTTTCAAGTAACCAAGGGATATTTTGACTAAAACTTCTTCTTTTGGTTCTCTGCAAATGGCTGACTAACCTCAGCTAAGACCCGTCACCCGATTCAGTGACGCTGACAAGCAGGAAAGGGAGTCTGGCTGCGGGTTTTAATGTGCTCATCTTGTGACTCAGAGGGAAGTGACTGTTGAGGACTGTATGGCTGCAGTCACAGCTCTGGAGGTCAGGAAAAAAGGGTATTTGTCAATATAAATCCAAATATTAGCAGGAAAATGTGACTCAGAAAATTTGGCTGTCTACAGATGTGTCACAATGCTGACATAGATTGAATATGACAGAGCTGAAATGGCGAATGGACGGATATATGTAAAGCAATTTTAGCAAATCCAAGATGTGACTAGCATCCCAGTGATGCCCTGAGAAAGATTTCTATGGCACTCTCAAGCTTCAAGAGTTAAATAGACTAAAACCGCTGTACCAAGGATCAATTCAGGGTCATAAAAAGAATATTTAGCTGTGACTACTCAACCTCTGATAACCACCATGTTAAGGCCAAAAGACATTTGATACAACTGACAGGCATTGTTTCAACATCCTAATTTGACACTCTGCGGTGCACTGCAGGAAGGAGATTTTTAGTGTCAGCAGCAGTGACAACTGCACTGCACCACCACAATGAGCCATGTTACTATCTCTTAGTTTGGAATGACGTACCAGTCTTCCCACAACTTGTCCCTATATCTGAAACCACCTACTGCAATAGATTATTTCTATTTTTATAATGTGTATATACTGCATATGCTAGTACCTAAATGTCCTTATTTGCACTCATTATTTGGCAACAACAGGTCACTACCTGTAAAGTGTACCGAAAAACATGTTTTGTCTCTTTCTTGGCACCACAATAATTCATCAAGAGCAGAAATGCCACTTAAAAACATGTCAAACAAGTTCATACATACTGGAAAAGCTGAGATTTCCTTTAAATTACTGAGTTTCACTGATGTCATCTGTTCCTTTTTTTTACTTAACCTGTGACCTTTGCTTACAACTCAAAGCTGGCTGCTAGTCAACACAATCAAGACTGAGGCTCTTCTTTCAGAAGTGGAGCAAATTACCTATGACCCCGAGAAGGGCATTTAGATTTAGCCAGGGACTCAGTGGAACAAAATTCACTGTGAACAAAGGTGCGATTGTATTATTACAGTAAAACTTCCCTTAAACCTCTTTAACAAAATAATTTAAATTCAAAGCTAAACAGCTGGTAACAGTAAGACCACATAATATATGACTGATATAAAACATCTCAGCTATACATTTTAGAACACACACAAAACAAGTCATGAACATGATGTTTGTGATCATTAACAGGGCATGCGGCTTGTGAAGGATAAGGCCATATTAGCAACAAGATGCCTGGCTGGAGTAAACATAGCAGGGTTACTCCAAACGATGCAATTAAATCCAAGGTCTTAATAAGAAAAGTGTTTCAAGCAGACAAAGCATGTTGCACTAATTTGGACCATGAATGTGGAAATCACATAGTCTGCATACTCTGGAATAAATGTTTTCCCTCGGGTAGGTTGGTCAGAACCAGTTTCCTTCACTATAATTTCCTGTTTGTCCTCAGTTTGCTCTTCAGTGGATAAACAAAGCGCAGAAAAATGTCCAGTTTACCCTGATGTAAACTGAGCATGATAAATAGAGGGGCTAGCATACAAACAGCTGGGCACTTGAGTCACCAAAAACAACACTTTTTCTTTTAGGGACTGGCAGTACCTTGCAGCTAGTTAAGACTCTCCTGTCTCACATCTGCAGGAGTTCATCCTCTTGGAGGTAATAATCATCTTAAGTCTCTTAAAAGTACTGTTTTTCATCGACATATTCTGGATGAATGATTAGCATTGTGCAAGCTTGCGTAAGTTTCAATTTAACGAAGACAAAGAAATCGACTGTGATGGAGTTTTCTAATTGAGTGCGTTCCCCTGTACTTCCTGTCAGGTGGGGGACACCTTGTGTTATTACTATCTAGTCAGGTAAGCAACACGTACATCAGCCTTCAACTAAACAAAGGTCACTTAAGATCTTTGACAACAAGTATATGTTCCATAAGCAACTTAAAATAAAATCATACACAAAAACAGCGAATCAATGGTTGTGTAGAATGTGTGGCATTCAGTCCCTCACTGGATACTGATCGCGTCTAATTTTAATGTTGAACCAATCTCAACACAGCCTGTGTCCCAGGCCCAAACATGATACCAATGTGTGGTAGCATTTAAAAGTACCTCATTATATAGCTCAAAGCCAAAATAACTTCTTGACCTTGTTTCTTGTCCAATCACAATCAATCTCACAAACTTTCATAAGACACACCCGTAATGTGTGTGATGTTAAGTCATATAAAATAAAGTCTGTGCCACCATGCCTACTGAAGACATGTTGTTTAGAAAAGCAAGAGTTCCACACCACAGCTCCCACACAGTTTAGAAATCACCTGCCACTCTGACTAATGTTACAAATTAACAGCTGCAGGGTATTTAGACTTGCACTGCAGAGTTTGTCCCCTGTTGTTTTCTCTGATGTTCTTTCATCAGTCCTCTGAGTTAAGGCCTAAGCTGTGAGATCAGTTGTGGGACGATCTGTTGACCGTTGATCGTCAGAGTTATTTTGTTCACATAAAAAGATGCCTCCGAGCATGTTGGGGGTGCAGAGAGCCTGAAGAAAACAACAGGACCAAACGTTCATGCCTCAACAAATTGGCTGTCAGTTGCATTTTAATTTATGTATGAACATCTGCCAGTATTCTGAGCCACACGGGGCGCCGCAACTGCAAATGTAACTGTATAAATTTCAAACGAAAATTTTTGAGTCTCAAGGCCAGAGGAAGTTCAGGCAAACACTGCTTTGAGCACGTTCATTTGGCGCATGTGTCCCATGATCCGCAAAGAAATGATAGTGAGCACATTTAGCTCACTGGCAAGGCTGAATCATGCAGTTTTTTTATACAATAAGCCATTTTTCGGAGCCTGCATGGCCGACACTGCTGCAAACTTCTAGTTTGCATATACAAACAATATCACCACTCTGTTATTTCTTAAATCAAACTTCTCTCCTCTGCAACTTTCCACTGGGGTTTAGTTCAAGCTTGCTCCTTATCGGCCCTCCAGAGCTGCTCTTTGACTTCTGGCGGCAGCGTGTTGAACAGGTCCTCCTCCACCACCAGACTGCTCCTCTTCAACAGCCGACACTCACCGAGCTCCACCGGGAGACACTCGAGACGGTTCCCTCTCAGCTCCAGCTGGGTCAATCCGGTGAGTTCCCCGAAGCGTGATGGCAGCGTCTGCAGGCAGTTGTTTCCCAGATTCAGAGTACGCAGCTTCTTGCACTTGAACAGTTCTGGGGGCAAAGTCTCGATCTGAAGTGGAGAGGATAAGGAAAAGAATGTGTAGTGTAAGTTAAACAGTGAACAGAAAGCCTGAATTGTCAATTTTTTGAATCAATATGCATTGGCAGGTGAGGCCACAATCTGCAATGTGAGCAAAGGGCATTAAGAAAATGAGGCGGCTGTTTCCACTGTAGTGACTAGAAAAGGTTCAGTTCTAGTCAAAATAAGATCAGAGGGCAATCGGGCTTTGTTGTTAGATTTAAGGTTAAAAAGTCTCATTAACAAATTTAGGATAATGGGGAAAAATGGCTTCAAAGATGTCAATGAATAAGTTAAAACCAACATTCAGCAAAACTATATGTAATTTTTGTTTATCTAAAAATAAATTTCAATCTGTATTCATTGATTGTCTAAAGAAATCACATCCTCTTTAAACACCTACATGGACACAATATTCATAATTATGCAACTAATTTGAATTGATAATGTGCGAACAGTGTGAAGAGGAGTTAGATAAGAGAGGCCTTAAAAACACAAGAGACACCAGAGGGGTCCTGTTTAATGGAACTATTTTTGGCTGCACACAAACCTGCTGGAACCTATTTTCAGAGCGCAACCACACAAGTAAACGCAATAAAACAGCAGTAATAGTAGCCTTTATTTAAAACACATGATCCTGAGTGGAAAGCAGTGTTTTCAGGAAAACTTCTCACAGTGAACAGAATGAAATTCCTGCATTGTGAAGCAAATTAACAGCATTTTATTAAGAATGAAATGATCCACTTCAGCCAAAGCCAAGCTTAGTTGTTTGTAGGTTTGTGTCAGTTTTGACACTTCAAATGTCCTTTGTTTTTTCTAGTAAAGTACATCAAAAAACTTCCCAAACATACTTCGGTTTTAAAGCGCATTTTGCCTAAGAATTGGCACTAAATGCTTCAACAGAATCTGTCAAACCAGACATGTCAACAGGTTATACACAAGTCACTGAAACAGGAAGTAACTAGGAGTCCTTTTCATTATACTACCATATGCTTTAGTACATGTGATGTTTTCTGTGCTGTAGACAAGTTGTCATTATTCCAGTTTGTTCCCTACACCTCCTTACCTGTTAAAATGCAACGATTTTTGAAATACTATTAATAAAAGCTATTCATGAGACAAGAAGCTGAGTTGTGCCACACTCCTGTCCTTAGAACATTACCCTCGAAAAGAAAGTTGTGAGACATTTGTTAACTGTGTGGCTAAACTAGTTTAGACCAAGGATTTGAATAACACAGACTGAAGACTTGTTTGCTCAGCATTTTAATTATAAACTGTCACATAAATATAACAAATTACATGTTTTACACAACAGAATGTTCCTCCTGTCAGACATAACAACATAACATTAAATAAATAAATACAAAATGATAAACTTTTTGTTTTTTTAACAAATTTTTCCAAAAAGGTCCAAAAATCTTTTAGTGTTGGCTTGCATCGCCTGGAGCTGCTGGTCCTCCTTAGCCTCCTCCTTTTAGGAACACTAACAATGCTCCCACATCATGCCTTTGTGGTGGCACCGCTATTTGCGCCAGGCCATGTAGGATCCACTTCCTCACATTCCCGACCACAAGTAGCGGCTCCAGCTCCAGGAGGTGATGAGCCATGACCACTGGAGGCCACAGGCTCATGGTTTCCCAATACACACGAGTCCCCATTGGCCTTGTGCATGACAGAAAACCACGGCTGTTGTGTCCTCCCATTGTCTGTCCCTGCTCTTATCAGTGGATTTTTAGAGCTCCTGGAAGATATCAAACATGGAATTTATTAGTGAGATGTAGACACACTGAAACCACTAGAATATGATGGCACCCTACAGGCCATGACACACATTATTTCAGTCAAATAACATGCTTAACAATTGATGATGGGCTCTAAAAAAGTGTCAGCCACATGAATGCAAGTAATTTTCTTACTGTCCTAACATGATATCCTTCTAACGTGTATATACCTACAGCATCTGCTTTTTATCGGACCTTGGAGGTTATAAGGCAACATTTGATACCATGCTTTATAAAACCCAACACTTTCTCATGTGAAAGTACCCAACCCATGAAAGTAACACATTTTCTAACCAAGGTCCAATAAATAACAGATGCTGTACAACACAGACGATAGGAGAGTGCTGATATGACATAACTAAACGAGTTGTGAATAAAATATGCGTAAACACACGCTGCGTTAACATTACATTACATTTCAAAACATAAAATAACTTAACATAAGGAGCACTTACGTTTGTAGTGTTTCTTCACCATCCCGTTCCAATGAGCCAGATGTAGGGGCAGAGTTAAATAGGCCTGTCATGGCTTTCAGCTTAACTCACTTCCAGGAAGGCTGCTCTTGCATGTCTTCGCTCATGCTCCTCAGAGATCCCTTTTTGCTCCTCAGAGCAGAAATAAGAGCTGTGGGACAGTCTTCAAGATGGAGCACAAGAATGACTCAAATAAGAGACTTGGAATGCACCCGCTGGTAGACGTCCACACCAGCTGTTGTTTGGCTCTGTAGTCAGCGTGCTGCGCTTGTTCTTCTCTGAATTTATTGGCAGCTCGAACTCTAACTTTAAAGGTGTTCCACCACCTACTGTATTGACTATGTAGAAACTTCTCCTTTTAACTCAATGAAAGTAATTTGGCTTTGGATTAAAGTCTATTTATCAACCATGATTTCATTATTGGAATAATACGTAATATTAATTTCCCATTACCTGCTGATAATTTACCGGCCCCATATATATCATGCATCCCTAATGCCAGGTTCACACTACATGATACCAGCCCGATTCTATTTTTTTTTTTTATTCTTCTATTTTTACTTTTTATCTGTTCCCGATTGCCTTGATAAAGTTAATGCATTGCAACGTCATTTCAAACTCAACACTTCCTGTATCTGTTTCAAATTAAAAGCCCATTTATAACATCTGTTAAAAGAATTCCTTCATTTTCTAAACGGGCTTTTATTGTGAAACACTTGCAGGAACTTATTGTGGAGGATTCAGTGACTTGCATGTTTACACGTGGTACTTCAAATGTAGCTCCTGCCATCTAGTGGAGCTTTTTACCTTACTACAACAACATTTCGGCTGGCATGTGAACAGACACAGTGACCGAAATAATAGCAATAATTATAAAAAAAGGACAAGAATAACCTGATGACATCACACATTGTGAAAGACGACCGGGGATAATTGGTGAGTACCATCATGTAGTGTGTCATGTTTATGACTCCACAATCGGCTATTGTGACATAGTGACTGTTGGAACAGACAGAAATGTTGTGTCGTGTGAACCAGGCATAAAACAGACCAAAATTATATCAATGTTTTCAACTTCTGTCTGATTTCAAATCTAAACTTCTAAGGACAATTTAAAACTCAGAAATATAAAGCATCGTATATATTGATAATTCACAACTGCAAAACTGCCAAAGCCTCAGTCATGTGGTTATCTTTAAAGCCATAATGCCCAACCTGTCTCCTGAGATAGCAACAGTTATAAGCGTTGATCTTCATAAACACCTTATCTGGCCTTTGAGCTAATCTTATTCACACATGATACAAAGATAGAGGGAATTATCTCTCCAAAAACACAGGAATTATGAATAAGCTTTTACTTAAGTTAAACCATGGATGGGAAATTTAAAGGAATTTTTGCCTCTCACCCTGTTTGCTGTTACAGCGAAGTACTGCAGGTTCTGGAGGAAGCCTACATCAGCATGGATGTTGGTCAGATTGTTGTGACTCAGGTCTAAGAAGCGCAGCTTGCGACAGAAGAAGAGCTGGCTGGGGATCTTCTCTATCTTGTTTCTGTTCAGATACAGCCTCTCCAAGTTGGTAAGTGTTCCGATCTGAATGGGGATGTAGGCGATCTGGTTGTACCATAGCTTCAGGCACACCAGCCGGTGCAGGTGCTGGAAGCTGATGATCTCCTCTATGGTCTTCAGGTTGTTGTCCTTCAGGTCAATCTCCTGCAGGTTGTGCAAACTAAAAATGGAGTGTGGAATGCGTTCAAGGTCGCAGCGAACAAGCTCAAGCTCCGTCAGGTTGACCATTTTCTTCAGGCTGTTGAGCACCATCAGCTTGGTGCCCTCGTTGTTGATGGAGAGCTTCTGGAGGTGCACGCCCACATCCGTCACGACCTGTGGCAGCTTGGTCAGGTTGCTTTTCAGACGAAGCACTTTGAGACTTTTGAGCTCCCGAAGCCCATCAATGACGATGTAACGATTGTTCTCAGCGCTCAGGTTCCCAGTTAAGTGAAGCTCACTGAGGTTCTTCAGGCTGTAGATCCACAGTGGGATCTCCTTGATGTCTGTGAACTTGATGTGAAGAGACTTCAGGTTCTCTCTCAGGAAAGCAAGAGCTGGAGCCTCAATTTTAGCTGGTGTATGATAGAGCCACATCTCTCTCATGTTGGAGAGCTGGGCGATGATTGGTGGGATAGTTACGTCCGGGATGAGCTCCAGCTTGAGCACTTCCAGCTCAACTAGATCAAATACTGTGTCTGGGATTCCACTAAGCATAAACAGATGCAGCTCCTGCTTATCCTGGGAGGTCTTGGTGATGCGCTGCTTCAGCTTCTCCATCGTCCACTCATTGTTCAGGTTCAGCTGCCTCAGCTTGTTCTCGCTCACCTCTGACAGAAACACAGCAAAGCGTTTGGAATAGAGAGGATCATACTGATCTATCATGTGCAGCATGAAGGCAAAATCGTTCTTCAAGTCAGGGATGTCGCTATAGCTGCTTTCCTCGCGGATTGATTCAAAGGAGTATCGTTTGAGGGAGCGGCTGAGCATCCAACAAAGAGTGTACATGCAGATAAGACCATAAACCACCACCAAGCTGATGTAGAAACAGGCCAAAATCTTGAAAAGAGTGGCTAACGGGTGAGCACAATAGAATGTGCTGTACCCTGTTAATTTCTGTATGTTCACTGTGCACACTACACTGAACCTGATGTAGCGCACATAGTAGGCTGTGTAGCTAATTATCAGTACAAACTTGATTACTTTGATGATGGTCTGACGTATATAAAGACGGTATACTATGTCACCCTCCTCTACGTGGATCCTGAACTTCTTCACCTTCTCAAAAAGAGCTTTGGCCTGCTCCCCTTCCTTTTTATCCAAAACCCCAGTTTCAGAGCGATCTACAATTCCTTGTTCAATTCTGGACTTTGTTCGTTGCAGCATGGGTACACTAGCCTCAACATCCTCGCTCACACATGAGGCCTTCTTATCCATCGAACCGTTCATCTTCCCCAGAGGCTTGGGGTCGCTCTCCTCCACCACGGTCTCAGACAAAGCCCTTGTTGTCCATGGGGAGTCAAAGCACTTGAGGAGGATGGAGACAAAGTGCTCCAGTTTAGAGCTTGTGCGGGGGAACTTGAACCAGAAGTTGCTGCAGGCCAGGAAGATAAGGGTGTGGAGTAGCACCAGATATGGGAAATATTTGGCAAACCAATGTAGTTTGTTCTCGTAGCAGACAGCATCGACGTAGTTATACTGATGACGGTCAAGGTCATACTGAATGCCTTTGGGTTCCGGTGCATAGGCGGTGCTTACATTTGGGGCGGGCATGGTCTCGCAGGACTTGTTGACCACCCACTTGCAAGGCAGGCAGATCATCTTGTCCTGCGTGACCTGCAGCGTACCACCGAACACCGCAATCATCAGCATGACGATTGAGATATAGTCGGTGAAAACATCCCACCATGGCTTCAGGATACGGTACGCTGGCTGGGTGTCAGCAAAGTACCGGAGCTCTGTGATGGGAATCATGATGGTTTATCTAAAAAGACAGAAAAAATGGGAAATTAGTGGGTGATCTATCAAATTTAAAACTCCATAAACTCTACTCTTTAAAACTCCAGTGGGCCTCTATTCTAATGAAATGTAATCCCATCGGTTCCTTCAATTTGTGCATTTAAAAGGCTGTAATAGTCAATATTAGATTGGGCGGTCTTAGGCAGTGTCATTATTTAGGATCCTTGTGGCCTGAAAGTAGAGCCTGTTCCTGAGCCTCTCAGTGCTGGCCTGGTGTATCCAGTACTATCTTCCCAACCTCAGCAAGGAGAAAGGCTGTTATCTGGGTGGTTGGGATCTTTAATGATTCTCCTGGCCTTATTATTGCATTGCCTGGTGTTAACAGCCAGGTAAGGCCCCTTGTGATGTGGACACCAAGGTACTGGAATCTGTCCACCCTCTCCACCAAGAACCCGTTGATATTTGGGAGGGTAATTGGTCAATCAGTCCATCAGTTGATTGACAGGATATGTATTAATAAAATTTTGATGCAATATTTGAGTAATTTCTAAGCATATGGTTACGGTATGATCACACAAAATGAGAAATTTTAAGATTTATGTGTGTATTTTCAACAGACACTGCAACTAATGATTATTTTCATTCCCTGTTGTTCTGATTATTTTCTAAATCAATCGATGAATTGGTCTGTCTAAAAAAAAAAATTAAGAATCTAGTGAAAAATGCCCATCAAAATTTTTCAGAGCCTACGGTGACATCTTCAAATATATACACATTTTTCCAAACACTCAAGAACCTGAATACATTTAATTTTCAGTTATGTAAAGTTTTTGCTTGAAAGATAACCTAAACTATGAATGGCTACTCAAAATATCTGCCGATTACTTTTTTTGATGATGAATTAATTTGCACCCTACACCCTTGTGTATCACTAGCTTCTTTATGTTTGGAGCAACAATGCAAGTCTACGTTTGCTAAGGCTTCTAAACAAATTCAAATGTATGTAGTGCAAAGCATCTACCTCTACAACTACAAATAGCTTCAAATGGATACCATATTAATACATGTAGAAAGACATTCCCTCTTCTGCTAGCTCAATGCTAATATACTGCACATAATCACACAGATATGCAATTTGGTACTGAACTCATCATCATACACACAGTCCAGTCAGCATGTTTAAGGTCAAGTAGCATACAAAGACCGGGAGTCATTGTATTAGCTGTAAAGTCTACGGAGCATCAGCCATATCCTCGGCATCCTGCATGCGCCGACAGCACACTGTGGTTCAGAGACTGCAGAGTTAGCTGGAAGTAAAAGGGCCACAGATCCTGACACAGCATGCATGTTCACACACAAGTCACTGTTTCTTCATCTATCACCTGATGTGCAGTGATTTCTCTGCACAAACATTTTCATGGCATGACGAAGTGGTAAAAGCCTCTTCTTTCAGGCTAATACTTCATTCAAATCACATTTTAACATATCAAAAAATATAAACATGAGTGACTATTTCAATTCTTCCATTTTCACTCCTTCAAGCTGAGATTAAATTATCTGAATCAGTGAGGATACTGAACAACAACTTAAACTTTGACTGAAGGCTCTCAAGAAAATATTAGTGATACCAAGTGAGATTTGGTTGCTGACAACTTAATAAAGAAACCCCAAAACCAAGACTCTCCCAGGCGTCCATTTATACTTGAGTATTGTCAAACCACAACTAGGCTACTTCCTCACACGCTATATGTGTAAATAATACAAGAAAATTAGCAATCTCACCAATTTTTTTTCATCAAGTTGTGTCAATGCTTAATGTTAACCCCAGATTAAACTGTTATCTTTGAGAACATCCAAATATCACGTTCTGATGACTTCTGCTTTGCTGTTCTGAAAATGTATCACCCTGCCCGCTCCACTCACCCCTTACTTACAGGAAAAGGATGAAATAGGATAGCTGGTCAAGTGGTCACAAAAAAAGCCTTGTTTTATCCAGTTCAAACCAGAATGGCAGTACAGTCACTGTGGGCCTCCTCTGTGAGGTTGCTGCTTTACTTCAACTGAGAAATCACAGCACACAAAGCTGCCAAAACACCTCTGTGAGCATTCACATGGTATTAGGGACAGAAATCTCTGACACCAATGCAATTTCTATTACACTATGGCCACAGATTAGACACACATCCAAAACTAGAACAGCACAATAAATGTGTTTGGCTGCTTACTATCTCTATTTCCTGTGCCAAGTACAAATAGCAGACAAACTTAAAGCAGTAGGCGTGTTCCCAAAGTCAAACTGTATAGATAATGGCCCTTCACATGAGGGCACTGATAAGGTCAAGTAGACCTCTTTGTTTGTAACAACAAAGATTCATGTACCATGTCTTAAAATAGAAGTTTTTGAAGACTCATCAGCAGCATCAAGTTACAGCAAACATGCACTCACTGACATCATTAGGACATCCAAGATTAGTTTCACAATATCCTGGCACAGGACAATAAACAACAATATGAAAGCAGCTTATCTTGCCTGTGCATCACACTGCATGTCTTTCCAAACCACTCCTCCAGACTTTCCACCAAAGACTTCTCCTTTGTGGAACTAAAGCCAGTAGGCGATTTGATGGGGGAGGAGGGACACGCCATTCCCCCTTGCAAACATACTCGCTTCGACTGGCCTCCTAAGTGCACAGAAAACAATATGGCAGTGAATTACTGAATCATAACACAAGTTATTCATTAGACTGGGATTCGTCACCTCTGTTAAAAATTAGCAAATCACCTACTGACGATAGCTATCTGATCACTCTCACCACCACCAGAGGAATTCAGTAAACTAGTACTAAAATGCAAACTGGATTAAAAAAAGAAAAAGGTCAAGACTGGATTATAAAGATACTCTGCTCTTGGCATCCTGCTTGTAGCTCTACCCTGGTACATTTCTCCTGAGTTTGTTCCCTGAACAAAGCTGCTTTTGTGTAGGCAGTCATTGTAGATGAGGTCCTGACACATGGGCTGATAGAGGTGCGGGCAAACCTGGCTGCTGTGAGAGGCAATATATTACAGAGTCAACTATAAGCTTCCTCAAGGACAAGCATCTCTCAACTCAAGCTACAGTCAAACAGAACAACAGAGAGAAAATCCTGACTGTACTGTATATTCGCAGTTTATACTGGATCTACCTTTAGAAAGAAAATAAAGTAAACCTGAATTTAAAAATGTAACAATGTAGCTTTATCATCATTAATTTTAATCTGTCCAATACTTTGGTTTATGACCAAATACTGGCACATCTCACGACACTCCCATCAACCTCTGCTGAACTTTGTGTTTAGTGCTAATTAGCATGTTAGCATGCTAACACCATCAACTAAGATGGTGAGCATGGTAAACGTTACACCAAAGATCCACTATAACAAAAGATAACGCATTACATATTGTGCCAATGGTATGGTATGGCATATACCTAGTCACAGACTTTTGTTCACCTTGACTTTTGCTTACAGCGATGGCCCTGTTGTTGTAGTCAAGTCCAAAAATTCATGTAAATGCATGTTAAAATTAAAAACAGTACACTTATGAGATGAGCTGGGTATGACAGCCCACTGGGCAACCAGAGACTTCCCCATCTTTGGCTCCTTTCAGTTCGGATCTCTCACCCTTTTTGTTTCCTTCTTTAAGTTGTGAATATCATTCTGTTTTTCCTTAAAAATAAACCTTATTTTATTTTATTCTATTTTATTTCATGTTTCAGTCTCAAGTAGAGTCTTAGTTTGTTAAGAGAGATGGTAACATTTAATACAACTCTTGTCTCTTCAGCTCCAGTCAGTGATATACTTCCCCACATGACTGGTGAAGGCTGGGAAGCCATCGGCCATTGTCCAAGCCAAGCTGCACCAATAAAGATAGTCTGTAAAACATCCTATTGGTGCCAATTACTGAAAGGAGAATTTTGTCATTGTGGCAACACATAACACATAATGTTCACTTTAAGTTTAATCAGTGTCAGTAGCGGCACCTGTTCTGACATTTTAACAGGTAATAGTCAATAACATTTAAGGCTAGTGCCATACAGACAAGGGTGTTCCCAAAACAAACTGATGAGGTGACCCTCTCTATCCTCTGTTCAAAACTGCCACTTCTTTGACGTTGACGTTAATGGCGGGCATTTTCAGCTCACCCTTTTTCATCATCTTGTACAGTTTGTGGACACCTTGTTGTTGTCTCTGCTCCAATGCTGAATGCCTTCTACCATTCAGTGGTGGGGAGCGCACTATTATTTGCACTATCATGCTGGGGCAGCGGCATGAAGGCTACAGAGGAAAACAAGATCAATAAGCTGCTGAAGAAGGCCGGGTCTGTCCTTGGGACCAGATTAGATCCAGTGAGTGTGGTGACTGAAAGGAGGATGTTACAGATGCTTTTGACCATCATGGACAACCCCTCCCACCCACTACATGACACCCTGACCAGGCAAAGAAGCTCTTTGACCAACCGGTTTATCCTGCCTCGGTGTTCTACAGAGAGACATAGACGCTCCTTTTTGCCCACTGCCTTAAGACTGTACAACTCATCCATGTGCTGACCCCCCCCACCCCCTTTCTATTTCCTATGGACAGTCTACACTTTGGTTTTTACTGCTTGCACCTTGTGTCACTGTGTTTTTATTAGTATTTTTATAATATGACCTGTGTTTTTATTGTCTATTGTTTTGTATTGTTTCTATTGGCTGCTGTGGCGCTGAAATTTCTCCTCAAGGGGATTAATAAAGTACCTACCTAGTACCTACCTACCTACCTACCTACCTTTGTGACTAGCTAGTTACCTAGCTAACTTGTTAATTTCACAATGCTTTAATGCTAATGATAAAGTGGTTACAGGAAATGAGCTGAACAAAGCTGTCACTCATCTGATGATAGCAATGTGCTTTCCTCACCTGGGACAAGAGTGTGTCGATGAAGCACTGAAGCATGAAGCTGTTAAATTTTACTCATGTAGTGGCTGGCTAGCTCACTGACTCCACCATGTGAGACGGCACATTTGGAGATTATTTCACCAGTTCTTAGCTGTTGAAACCATTATGTCCAAATCCCAGTGATGTGTCCACAGCATGCAGTCCAAAGTAGTTGCTTGAAGTAATACTTCACCCACAAATGACCATTTGTAAATCAATTAGTTATGCTGTGTTACCTTAAATTTGTTAAGCTAACCTTGTTTATCTCGCATGCCTCCACAAAAATCAGCAAACACACTGATTAATTAATTGATTTGAGACCACATTAACAACAGCAGAACTATATCAAAACATCTATTTATAAAAAACACCTTAGTACTGGAGTCTGGCTTTGAAGAGATTGTACATAAGTTTTACTTTAAGTTCAGATTTTAATAGTAAGGTTTTAGGAAGTACTGAGCATATGACTGCATAAATGAGGCTTAGAAAGCTGTGAAAATATTCTAAATATAGTGTGCAGTCAAAGTGATATTGACGTTTTTAAGTGGGTCTTTTTTAAGTATGGAACTAAACAACTGAGACAGCATTTGCTTAGTGCCGTTTCATTTAATGTACGTGACATGGGGGTTTTCTACCCAAAAGATGTTATACACAAACACTGCGATTCTGTCTATGTTCATAAAAATGAAGACTGACCAAGAGCACAACTTTTTCCCACATCAGGACAAATTATGATTAGGCCCGTTTGAAATGAAATGCGCCTCCCCTGGAAAGAGGACAAGAGCAGGCGGCTGCAGCAGGAAGTGATGACAAAAGGCTGCAGTGAAGTCGGACAGTTTCCAGCAGCCTTCAGTCTGTACAGGATGTCACTAGAACATTAACATCCTGTCAGATATGATGATGTTTTTTTAATGTGTTCAGACTCATATATCAGTTTGTTCTTAGTCTACAATTGTTTTAATTATGACATATGTACATGAAAAAGATTTAGCAGCAATCTGTAATTTCTGTTCAAGGCTCAACAATAAGGATTGCCCGATTGCCCGGGGCAAGTAAAACTCACGGTCGGGCATGTAAACTAACAACTCACTTGCCCGATCGGGCAAGTTGCTAAAAATAGTAAAAGTTAATAACTAATTGATAAAATAAATGTATTTTAAAACGTGCTCTTCTGCTCTGATGCAGCGGTCTCTCTGCCTGAAGTCACAGGCACACGCTGTGTAACAATGTCCTGCCCACAGCCCCCATTAATATTATTTTGCGCGACAGACGCTTCATATAATAACATAACAATATACTATTTATGGTGTTATGCTATCGTGTCATTTCTGTCTCTACATGGTCACGCGTTAACAATTCTCCTCTGCTCCCTGTATCGCGCACGGCGGAGTTCCGCCACACACACAGGTTAGCACGCTAGAGTGGCATTTTCCTGACCAAACCTGACCCCGAGCCCGGTGCATTTTGTCAGCTGACAAAGTAATTGAAATGGACAGTGTGTAAATAACCAACAGACTGCTGTTATGCACAGACAAACATGCTGCTCGCACAGCAGCTCAGCACGGCACTCATGCTGAGCTTGTGTTGCGTTCAGGCGTTGTCACGTAAATAACAACTTCCAACACTTAAATAGGTCATAGCACAAAACAGCAGCATGTCAAGTGACTTTTTACTTTATTATATTCAATAAAATTGTATGTTCCTAAATCTTGAGACACCTCATATGTAAGCTAGACAGACATTTCACCTGCTCATTACTGTGCACACATGTACTGTATGTACTTAGTCCTAAAGAGCCCTTCTGGTGCCAGTAGATACACAGAAACATCCCAGCAGGCTGTGCTTTGCAAGCATACAAAAAAGTTTCACGCATGTGAAAATTATTTTTCATGCGTGTGCTT